TTCTGTCTGTCGGTCGTTCTGTCTCTGTCGTTCTTTCTGTCTGTCGGTCGTTCTGTCTCTGTCGTTCTTTCTGTCTGTCGGTCGTTCTGTCTCTGTCGTTCTTTCTGTCTGTCGGTCGTTCTGTCTCTGTCGTTCTTTCTGTCTGTCGGTCGTTCTGTCTCTGTCGTTCTGTCGTTCTATCTATCTATCGTTCTATCTATCTGTCTGTCTAACCAGTATTTTCCATCTCTTTTAGGTGTAGGACGAACAACCACAAGAGTAAGCAGTTCTAGCAAAGACGGCCTGAAGTCAGTTGACACCTGAGACTGATCACACAGAATCAACACTGACAGTTGCTGAGAGACTTAAATTTTACTTTTACCACAATGGCCTTGTTGAATGTTACTCTTCCCTGGAATGTCTCTTTGGACCTCAACCACAGCTATTTCAAATCCAACCTCCCAGAATTAGAGGACACACAACCTACGGTGAAGAACTGGCCAGCCCTGTTCATTCTGGCGTTCATATTTTTTACTGTTGCAGGGAATATACTGGTAATTATGGCCGTGTCCATCGAGAGAAAACTGCACAATGCCACCAACTACTTTCTATGCTCACTGGCCGTGGCAGACATGCTGGTGGGATTCCTAGTAATGCCAGCCTCTCTAATTAGTATTCTTTACAGTAAGTACTGTCCAAAAAAAAAAAAGAACAACTTAAGGCTACCTAGGCTCATTGGAAATACATGCCTCTGTCTCCATTTATGCAAAACTAAAAAAAAACGTCCAATATGCTAGTAATATGCATGCAAATAAGCAACTAGTTGATAGTGAGTTTTGGTCCCTACCATGGTTTATTAAAAGGACTAGACTGACCTCTACTCATATCAGTGCCTGTGTCTCTGTTTCCAGATCACATCTGGCCTCTCCCTGAACTGCTGTGTCCCTTGTGGATCTTCCTTGACGTGCTCTTCTCCACAGCCTCCATCATGCACCTGTGCGCCATCTCTCTGGACCGCTATATCGGCATCCGTAATCCAATCAAATACAGCCGCAGCAACTCACTTCACAAGACCATGATCAAAATAATCAGTGTCTGGACCATTTCTGTAGGTGAGAATGAAGCATCCAGTTCAGAAATACAAAAGATAATGTTGTGGTTAATGATGATATACAGTACTGAAGTCAACACATTTCAGTGCACAGGCCTTCATCAGGCTTAAAAGAAAACAAGAATAAAGCCTTATTACCTTAAATAATTTCTGTCACTTCTAGTGGCACTATTGAACGGAATGGCAAAAATAATGATTGTTTGAATGAATAAACCCACATTTAATTTGTGATTGCCTGGATTTACAAATATACTGTATATATAATAATAAAAATAATAATGTGCCAAAGAGCCACAGTTTTCACTGTTCAGGAAGTCAACCTACCAAAAAGTATTTTAACATTGAAAAATTCCAGTCTTCACTTTAATCATTTATTTACATCATAATTATTTCTTCATTTACTCACCTTCCACTTGTTCCACACTTGTGTGTGTGTGTGTGTGTGTGTGTGTGTTGGACACCAAATTAAATAAATAAATAATTAAATAACTGAGTAACGAAACATTTGACAGTAGCCATTGACATCCAAGGTTTGGCAAAAAAAAAACATGGAAGTCAATGGCTACCGTTAAATGTTTGGTTACCAACATTCTTCAAAAATGTCTTCAGCAGAAGAAAGAAACTCATACAGGTTTGGAACAAGTGGAGGGCGAGAGCCTTTACAGCTGCCAAAAATAAAACTTTTTGGTCTTTTTTTATAAAAAAATAAATAAGCTCAGCTCAGGTTACAAAAAGTAGAGTAACTAATTAAAGCAGTTAGTTATTTTTATGGAGTAATGCAATTACTTTCAAAAGTAACTTTCCCCAACACTGATTGTGACCCTACAGGACTTGGTGTTAACGATCGCTCACATCTTGCCACAGGTTCACATCTGCCCATAGGTGAACACATCAGCATCTTCTGAATCTGAAGCACATCGCTAGTTTAGGTTGCAGGATGTTGCAGCTGCTCCTCTGCTCGTTCAGTATGATGACTCAATGTGAGCAGTCAGGCAAGCAGTCTGATCCTGTTTCTGTGTGCTTCCTGGGGCGTCATGGACTTTGCTTGACGTCTTTACCTAGAGAGTACACAGCACTAACAGGAACTGACAGGAGAAGCGATTACTGCTGCATCAGGCTTGTTTACGCCTTCATCACAGTCAGCATTCCAACCGGATTTTTCGTATGGATTTAGCATTTCTGATGCATAAAGCTTAATATTTCTGCACAGCTCTTCTTATGGTTTTGTGCTTAACACCTACCAACCCTATGAGCATCTTTGTTTATAAATAATAAAAATAAAAAGTTTTTTTTTTTTTAAAGTAGCAGTTTTATAATGGGACTCACATGGTTATATGTCATAAATCAATAACAGGCCATTAATCATTATATTGTATCTGTCTTTTGACAGCTTTTACTTTTTTGAGTGGGGAAAACTGGAATGAAATGGCTTTGTGTGACTGTTCACACCAGTAAACATGTTCACATGAAATCACGACAGTCTCCACTTTTATTTAATTGGTGGGATGCGATGGATTAAACATGCTTTCTGATTCGTCATTCTTCTTGCTTTTTTTCTTCCAGTGCTGTCGCTGCCCATTCCAGTAATGGGTTTCCAGGACAAGAAGAAGGTGTTTGTAAATAGCACTTGCACCCTGAATGAGCCTCGTTTCGTCCTTGTTGGCTCATCCGTGGCCTTCTTCGGTCCTCTGGTCATCATGGTGGTCTGCTATTACCTCACTCTCCGTGATCTCCAGAGGCACAGCACTGCTTTCCCACAAGAGAGCAGGAGCCACTCCAAACATTCTGCTGAGATAAGTGACACAAGTTTGCTGAACAGTAAGTCCTCCTCCAACAAGTCTGCACAAGGTCCACGAGGCCAAGGCAGACGAGGCATGATTCAAGCTTTGAACAATGAGCGACGAGCCTCCAAAGTCTTGGGGATTGTCTTCTTTCTCTTCCTGGTCATGTGGTGTCCATTCTTCATCACCAATAAATAAGTCAATGTATGGGAAACACTGGTAAAGAAATATCGGAAATGTGTTTAAAAATCATATCACCATTATGTCCAGCCCTAGTCCTTCCACAACATTTCAATTGGATTAAGGTCCGGACTTTGACTTGGCCATCTTTAACCATTCTTTGTGCTTGGGGTCGTTGTGTTGCTGCATGACCCACTTTCTCTTAAGATTTAATTCTCAGACAGATGTCCTGACATTTTCCTTCAGAATTTGTTAGTATAATTCAGAATTCATTGTTCCATTTGATTGGGTTCTCTTTGT